TAGGGAAACAAGTCTCCCAGGTGGCAGATTAACTAAGGTGGCAGGAGGGCTTTCCACCTACCTTGAACGGGGAATGTGGTAACAGCGTATTCACGGTACAGGCACGCAAGTATGTAAACCAGCTTCAGGGTGCCAGCCACACGATGAATCTAAGCACTAAGGGGCACATGAGAAACATGTTTTGAATGGTCTCTATGCTTTTGCTAGGAGCATAAACTAGGAGCTGAAAATGCACGTGGAAAAAGAAATTAAATTATTGTTATGACAAACCTGATGAGATGGAGCATATGGCTGCAACATTAAATCAATGGTTAAAACTTGCTCTGTAAGGACAGAATGGGTCAGGGGAGTGATACTTCACATCAAAGATACATTAGCTGTTGCAGACTCATAGATAACTTACAGTCATAAGACCTTGAATGTTTACAGATATAAAAAGTTCTCACTAGTAAAACAAAAGATAAAGTGCTATTGTACATGTGCCACAGACAATTAGATCTTGCTTGAGTACAGCATGACCGATCTGTAATATGTTGGAAGAAAATCAATGTTATAAATGCTCCAAATGGAAGATGCCTGCTGGACATTTAATGTTCCAGAAACCAAACTCTCAGAAATTCTAAAAATAATCATTATATGTACTTGGCACAGAAAAATCCTGCACATAACACACATTAACTCAGGCTGGTGGACAAAGAAGAGTTAATAGTTGTTCCATAAATGTACTATTGCTATTTAACTTTTGGAAATAGAATATGGCATCAGCTGCTGACAGGCAGGCATGCAGCTAGACTTTTGAACAACCAGCCTCCAGTCAACCACGCTTTGCACATTGTTTCTTCAGAATACTTCCATCCTAGTCAAAGTCCTATAAAGCAGGGATGCCCCAAGCTTTTTTCTCTGCAAGCCAGATGGACAATGCCAGCTCCACCCACACACCATCTGGTGGGCCTAAACTGGTGCATGGCGGGGCAGAGCCATCCCTAGGGGTGTGGCAAGCAGTGAGAGTGGGGGGGA